GACCCCGCGTCTCCTGCATCGGCAGGCGGACTCTCAAGCACTGCGCCACCAGGGAAGCCCTTATTGGAAGCCTTTTAAAAGGACTTGAGATTTAAAACATTTCCTGGATAGTTATTACTGGGATGAAGAAAAGACTTATAAAAGGTAGACAGGATTTGGAGGCAAGAATAAGATTTCCACCTTAGGCATTTAAAGTTTAAAAGGGCTGTGAATCAATCAAATAGTGATTTTAGTGGGTAGCTGGTCAGAGGGGCCTAGAGCTCAGAAGGGAATCTGGCCTATAGACATAAATTTTTATTAGCATTTGGCTGGTGTTTAAAGCCATAGGAATGGATGAGCAAGAAGAGGGCTCAGAACTGAACAACTTGGATATTTAAAAGTTAAGAAGAGGAATTAAAGCATATAAAGGTGACTAAAAAAGAGACCAAAGGAGGAGAAAAAGAGAAGACAGTAATGACATGGAACCCAAGAAAAGACAGAGTTTCAAGAAGGAAGACATGGCCAGCCATGTGAAATGCTGCTGAGATACTGCCTAACAGTGGCTATCTGGAGTACCAGGCAAAGACTCTGCTGCCAAATAATCAGCATGAATGAGTATGATGACTGATTAGCAGTATCTTCCTTCAGTGGCAGGTGTGAATCTAGTGATAGACATGCCAGATATTTACCTCCCTTGATAGTGACTACCCCAAATGATTGGTCTTCACTATATATAATCTATCAGACTCTTCCCATCAAAATCAAGCATTTTCTTCTCACTTCACAGTACCATTACCCTACCTGAGAAGTGCACTGAACTCAAGTTAGAGAACTATTAGGAAATTGATACTGCTTAAATAATAACAAACAAGCATTAAATAACAACAGACACCTTAGGAATTGGTGTATCTGTTCCGCAGAATGGTAAAGAGATCATAAGCTTTCATTTTTAGAAAAATGAGAAGCTTCAATTTTACCCACTCAGCCAGGGTAAGGGCTAATGTTAGCATTAGCTAGCATTTCTCAATCACAACCAGTAGCCAAAGCCAAAATGTTATTCCTTTACATGTGTACAAAGAATTTTACTCCAAAGGTTTATACCCAGGAAATAAATGAGTCCAAGACTACTGTTCTCATCTGACTTAACTTATTTTCCAATGACAAGAAGTAGAATCTTAGCTACCCAGGTTTTTTCGAAAGTTTCTATCCAGAAGTGTTACTTTAGTCAGCCTAATTTAAGTAAATTTATAGGTTAAGCTATATTAAAGAAAATTTAAAACGTATCTTTGTTATAACCAAAATCCAAGTATCTAGCTCTAACTCAGGCAGTTTTCAAGGTGCTGTCCAGGAACCTCTGTGGTGTAGAGGGAGACAAGCATACAGTGATATTTTCAAAAAGGAACATGATGGTGTGATGATACCATTAATGGAATGTGGGCTTGTGTATTTGTGTTCCAAAATTTCTTAGTTTTAATTTACAATACAATAAATATTGATAGATAAAGCCCACATAAACAGAAGCTCTTTGGGGTCCTCGATAATTTTTAAGAGCGTAACAGGGTCCTGGGACAAAAATTTTAATAATTACTACTCTAAGTTTCTTTACAGCCATATATTTTGTATGAGCTTAGGCTTACCCTGACAAAGTATCGCATGATCTTGTTCTGGAAATCTCCAGGAGGTAGCAATAAATATAATAAGACCTCACACAAATCCCTTAGGAATCCTAGAAATAAAAGAAGTAGCTATAACAACATTAGAAAATATGAAGTCTCCACCTACTCTTGATATAAAACACAAATAAAGGTAGAAATAAGCAGTTGCCTGATTATACCAGCTTATTACCTTAGTAATCAGTATTCACTAAAAATTCCTTTATTGTTCTCCAAGTAGCAACTATTCATCAATCAAACGAATACATATTTTTTATTCTGCCCAATTCTAACCCACATTTTGAATTGTTGAGAAACTTCAATTACAGAAGTGTTTTCCCCAAAAAGTTTTAGTTGTACCATGTATTCTACACTTCTACCACACATCTTTGCATACTTAAAAGTTATCTGCACATTTAAAAATACACTTGTAACTATTTTTTCAGGAAAGAACTTCCACTACCTTGGCAGGTAAAAACAAGAAGAATATACGCTTCTATTGGGTTGGCCAAAATGTTCGTTTGGGTTTTTCTGTAACATTATGGAAAAACCCGAACGAACATTTTGGCCAACACACTATTTTTACTGATTGAGGAGGGCTTGATTTACATAAAAGGACTGTACATTATTATATCTATTTCTTACATTTAGCTATTTCATATTAGTGCTAATGAAGTAGCAGTTAAGAACTGAATTGCACAATAAATATAAAAAGGAAAGAAGGAAAAAGGGAAAAAGCGGAAAGGAAGGCAAAGAAATAAAAAAGCTGAGCACATTTTTAAAAATATAAGAAAACAATTTCCACAACTAGAAATGCATTTCTGAATTGTTCATACGCTGACACTTCCCAGGAATATAATTATTGGGTCAGAACGAACTTTTTGGCCAATGCAATAAACAGCTAATCAAAAAAATGTGCCAAGTAGCACAGACTCCTAGTCGTTGTAAAACTAGGAAAAGACAACATCCTCAGCTAACGCTTATCGGGTCTAACCTCTCAAAAAGAAAAGTACATTCAACTCTATAAATTTCATTTGAAATATTATAATCATTCCCTTATGAAATATTTAGGGTAACAGGTGTACTCTTGAAATAGAATAAATTCAAGGGGAAGACAAATTACTGTAGATCAAAAAAAGTAAATTTATAATTATATAATGTTTCAGTTTGCCGTATTTTAAAAGATGACAAAAGAGGTACTCTTTAAATTTTAAAGATGACCTTTAAAAAAGAAAAAAGAATCTGTAAACTATTTTTAAGAGTTAAAAAATACAATAAAGTGAATAGTAGCAGTGTCTGTACTCTGCTGCCTGTCCTGTAAGAATCATTTCACTCTTAGATTCCACACTTATATTTGTTCACTGATTCTGCTAACTTGTCTCCAACCAATGTGAACAGTTACTGTTCTCAAAAAAGTTAAATTGAAAAAAAAACCTTCTTCATCTTTGGGAGATGTGCTCACTAGGTCACGGCAAACGTCCTTCTCCATTTCAACTTCAACTTCAAAGAAGGCGTCTATAAGATCTTCTGCTGTGCCTGGACAAAGAAGGAACAATTCAAGACATACAGAATAATAAAGAAAAACAGATTTTAAAATCCTAATTTTCATAGGGGATAAAGACATTACCTTTTACTTGATCATCTTTCTCTGTTATCTTCTGTTGAGCCTTTCTGAATACTCGCAGGTGTGTGCCAAAATCATCTACAATGCGTGTAGTAAAATAAGGTTGCCAGTCTATTTCTTTTGACCTTACAAAAAACACATGACATAAAAGCATTATATAAATGCTTTTTTTAATCAAAAAATAAGTTTATTTAATGACTAGTGAAAGACATGATGATCAAAGAGACTGAATTTATTTATACTGAGATTTTACTCATTTAACCACTATTACACCTTAGCATTCCCTTTCAAGAGACCCAGTTTATCAAATCTACTTAAACCCTCGAACAATATTCTTTGAAGTATTTTATGTGCCAAAGCTTAAAAGTACTATCTAAATGCTTAAAATAAATAAGAGAAAAAACAACAGGTATATTATGCAATTTCTCATCCCAGACATAACAATATATTAGGAATTCAGAATGTTTTTGCTTGCTTTTAAAAGAGCAGTTGAGATATTTCTTGGTTCCTTCTGAACCCTTTCTGAATTCTCCACATTCTTCCTTTTAGTTATATGGTCCAAGTTTTGAACCAAATATCTTTGGTATGAGCCTGACTGGTTTCTGCTTGCACATACAAACACTTAAAAACTTAACTATTTGAAATAACTATAGTCACATGGAAATGGTTTAAAGAGTAATGTAAAATACCACACTTACTCATGAAAAAGGTGATTACTAAGTTTATTAAGTTACCTAGTACTCTTCTCTCTAAAGCAACAGACCTCAACAAACATCGCTAATTTAGTAAACCAATGAAACAGATAACAAATACAACAGATAAAACCATATTATACATCTCCTTGGATTAAGTGATATTTTTAAACAAACATGTTATTCAATGCTGTTTTCCTTAAGTTAGCACTAAAATTAATTCACCCCTTTAGGAACATACCAAATAAACAGAAGATAAAGAGGCTACTCATGAAGATGCTAGACAATGGGGGAGCAAAAAAAAAGTTACCATAATTCATTATGCTAATTCACCATACATGTATAATAAAGAAGCTAGTGAATAAGTTGACTCGATTACTGTCTTTTGAGAAAAAACTTTTAAATGTGGTAATGGCACTGAGGAATATAACAGATGGCTATTTTCAAACAAAAACATAAATTATTAACACTCATAATTTCTAATGCACAATTATGATTTTGTTATATACATGGAAAGAAAGAGTAAATTATAAGTACATGAATACAAACAATTTAACAAAAATAAATGTAACCTGAGCTCTGGGATCTGAGGAGGGGTTATCATTACTTAGAATGTAAGAGCCATGTATATAAGCAAACACTAAACTTGGTAACAGTCTCAACATAAAATCTAAAATAAAAACTTAAACCTAGAAGTGTCTAGAATCTCTTTTTGCCCTTATTTTAAAAAGAAAAGCACAATCTGTGTAAGCATCTTTCAAAACTCTTTACATGAGTATTTGTACAAAATCATCCAAACCTGAAAATTTTATAAGAACAAAATTTACTTGGTATAGGCCATTAGCTCATTTAATCCATAAAAGGTTCATTCTAACAAATTTAAAAGAAAGCAGAATACATAATCTTTCAAATTACATATGTTCTGTTTCATGGTACAGTGCTATTTATAGAATTTACCGAAATTTTCAAACAAAACAAAATTTATTAATTTTAGAAGGCATTTTAAAACCTATCTCAATTCATTAAGGAGGATGTAATGACATTTAAAATGACTGAAAGTTAACAAGTAATGCAAATACATGAAAATTATTTTAAGTATTAAATACAGATTTCTACTTTCAATATACAAATATACTGAGGGTGGGGAAAACAGGGAACACAGTATTTCATATTCTCTATCCAAGGTCATCATTTTCCCTCTGCTTGACTCATTTACCCTGAATACATGCAAATCTATTGTAAATTTCAATTCAAAGGAACTGTTCTAGGTTAGGAAGATAAGAACAACAGTAGTACATGACTTCCCATTTACATAATTAGGAAAATATCTACTAACAATTTCTAGTAGTATTTGTCTTAAAATTTGAAAGCCACACTTCCTTCTATTGATCCACAGGTAGTTTTCTATTAGAGCTCTTAATATTATTTATTCTTAAATCATGCCTACAGTCAAGGCTCTTTTTCACTTTGTTTAAAATATTCCCCCACATGACTCCTAGTAAAAACACCTGGATTATTACACAATGAATCCTATTATCTACACTTTCATTTTATTATTACTCAGAGGCTTTCACTTCTTGAATTTAAAAATGAGAGCATACTTCCTATATGACCAAGAGAATAAGGGATATATTCAACCCTACCCTGAGAATATACAATTTATATTAGGCCCCAGAAACTTATATATCTTGACAGAATGCTTGTAAGAATTATGATGGTTAATTAGGAATGCAAATAAGCAATAAAGTCTTAATTAAAGAACAAAAGGAAAACTCAAACTACCAAGTATAGCTCTCTGATATATTTGGCATGCCTTATCTTCATCTCTAACACCATCATTTTATTCCTGGCCTTTTAATTGATCTCCCACGTCCACTCTAGTCTACCCTCCATTCTATTTTCCATACAGCAGCCAGACTGATCTTTTTAAAAATACAAATATGATAATACAAAACAAGAGCTGTAAAAAACCCTTTAATCCACGTCCACTCTAGTCTACCCTCCATTCTATTTTCCATACAGCAGCCAGACTGATCTTTTTAAAAATACAAATATGATAATACAAAACAAGAGCTGTAAAAAACCCTTTAATGGGGCTTCCCTGGTAGCATCTTTAGGATTCTCTATGTATAGTACCATGTCATCTGCAAACGGTGACAGTTTTACTTCTTCTTTTCCAATTTGGATTTCTTTTATTTCATTTTCTTCTCTGATTGCTGTGGCTAGCCTTCCAAAACAATGCTAAATAAAAGTGGTGAGAGTGGACATCCTTGTCTTGTTCCTGATTGAAAGGAAATGCTTTCAGCTTTTCACCATTGAGTATGATGTTAGCTGTAGGTTTGTCATATATGGCCTTTACTGTGTTAAGGTATGTTGCCTCTATGCCCACTTTCTGGAGAGTTTTTATCATAAATGGATGTTGAATTTTGTCAAAAGTTTTTCTGCATCTATTGAGATGATCATATGGCTTTTAGTCTTCAATTGGTTGATGTGGTGTTGCACACTGACGTGGATATTGAAAAATCTTTGCATCCCTGGGATAAATCCCACTTGATCATGGTGTATAATCCTTTTAATGTGCTGTTGGATTTGGTTTGCTAGTATTTTTGTTGAGGATTTTTGTGTCTATGTCCATCAGTTATATTGGCCTGTAATTTTCTTTTCTTGTGGTATCTGTGTCTGGTTTTGGTATCAGGGTGATGGTGGCATCCTTCCTCTGCAATTTTTTGGAATAGTTTCAGAAGGATACATGTTAATTCTTCCCTAGATGTTTGATAGAATTCGCCTGTAAAGCCATGAGAGGAAATTTTCCTATAATTCATATATAATTTTATATATAATAAACCAGAAATTCCAGAGGGCTAGGAAATAAATAAATAAATAAATAAATAAATAAATAAATAAATAAATAA